CTCTCCTTTGTTATCTTTTATTCCACTTCTATCTCTGTCCGCGAATGATAATAGCAAAGACCAATGCATCCCCTTCCCTTTCTCTGTGTGTATGTGTATCTGTATACATAAACACGTGTGTAATGTTGTGTATATATATTTTTATAAGTGTGTGTGTGTATGTATGTGTATGTGTTTACGTGTGTGTGTGTGTGTTTACGTGTGTGTGTGTGTGTTTACGTGTGTGTGTGTGTGTGTTTACGTGTGTGTGTGAGAGTGTGTGTGTGTGTGTGTGTGTTTACGTGTGTGTGTGTGTGTGTGTGTGTGTGTGTGTGTTTACGTGTGTGTGTGTGTGTGTGTGTGTGTGTGTGTGTGTGTGTGTGTGTGTGTGTGTGTGTGTGTTTACGTGTGTGTGTGTGTGTTTACGTGTGTGTTTACGTGTGTGTGTGTGTGTGTGTGTGTGTGTGTGTGTGTGTGTGTGTGTGTGTGTGTGTGTGTGTGTGTGTGTGTGTGTGCGTGTATGTGTGTGTGTGTGCGTGTATGTGTGTGTGTGTGCGTGTATGTGTGTGTGTGTGCGTGTATGTGTGTGTGTGTGCGTGTATGTGTGTGTGTGTGCGTGTATGTGTGTGTGCGTGTATGTGTGTGTGCGTGTATGTGTGTGTGTGTGTATGTGTGTGTGCGTGTATGTGTGTGTGCGTGTATGTGTGCGTGCGTGTATGCGTGCGTGCGTGTATGCGTGCGTGCGTGTATGCGTGCGTGCGTGTATGCGTGCGTGCGTGTATGCGTGCGTGCGTGTATGTATGTGTGCGTGTATGTATGTGTGCGTGTATGTATGTGTGCCTGTATGTATGTGTGCGTGTATGTATGTGTGCGTGTATGTATGTGTGCGTGTATGTATGTGTGCGTGTATGTATGTGTGCGTGTATGTATGTGTGCGTGTATGCATGTGTGCGTGTATGTATGCGTATATGTGTGTGTGTATATGTGTGTATATGTGTGTATATGTGTGTATATGTGTGTGTGTATATGTGTGTATATGTGTGTGTATATGTGTGTATATGTGCGTGTGTGTATATGTGCGTGTGTGTATATGTGCATATGTGTATGTGCGTGTGTGTATATGTGCATATGTGTATGTGCGTGTGTGTATATGTGCATATGTGTATGTGTGTGTATCTATGTGTGTACATATGTGTGTACATATGTGTGTACATGTGTGTACATATGTGTGTACATATTTGTGTACATATGTGTGTAAATATGTGTGTGTGTGTGTGTGTGTGTGTGTGTGTGTGTGTGTGTGTGTGTGTGTGTGTGTGTGTGTGTGCGTGTGTGTGTGTGTGTGTGTGTGTGTGCGTGTGTGTGTGTGTGTGTGTGTGTGTGTGTGTGTGTGTGTGTGTGCGCGCGTGCGTGTGTGTGTGTGTGTGACCATGTATATGGTTCTGTTTGACTATCAAACTATATGTTATCTATTTATGTCTATATCTATTTATGTTTATATCTATCTATCTATCAAACCATCTCTCTCTCTCACTGGAGATAGGCAGATAGATAGAGAGAGAAGGGAGAGAGTGGAGAGGGTGGGAGGGGAATGCCGTCGACACAAGAACGCATTATCACGTGAACAACATGAACGAACAGCCTGGACGAGACATCAACAACAGAATAACATTGCGAGGATTCGTCTCCAGACAAAAAAAAAAAAAAAAAAAAAATGTGGCCAACAGGACAAGACGCAGATACAAAAAATAGAGGCGCACCGTGACGTCAAAGTGTTGAAAACATCTCGTGACAAAGTGACGCCACGTGACGGACTAACAGAAGCAAAAAAGAAGTCACGAGTGCGAAAAAAAACGAATAGTTATAAGTGATCGCACTATATATGACAACACACCAGTCTGGGAACAAGAAAATAACTCGGCTGGCAGGTAAAAAAAAAAATAAATAAAAAATAAAATAAAATAAAATAAAATAAACTGATAAATACAGTGTTGAAAATTTACTGGGACACAGGAAAATCCTGACGCAGGTATCTTTCAAATTAGTGAAAAGAAATTCTATCATATTCATGATAATTGTTAATGGCGTGGCCGGATGGTCTCCCATATCGGGAATAAAAGACGGTTAGTGACAGACAAACGGCGGATTAGATTTCGGAGTAGCATCCAGTAGCCATGTCTTTTTTGTGGCACATCTTGTTAAGCCCGGTTGAAGGGATTTAGTGCCTTATCTCGAGGGAACATAGTGGACGGGAATGTGCTATGGATAATGTGGATTAAGTAAAATTAGCGATTATTTCTTGATTTATGTGTGGTTATATAATGGACCAAGAATTGTATTTGATTAAATTAATTTTGGAAGAACTTGTATAACGGAATAATTGTAGATCTGACTGTCAAGTTTGAAGAATGATATAACTGAATACATATAGATTTGAATTTTAAGTGTAAGGATATATCAAGTTAATAGAGAAAGTAAGGAATTAATGAATTACTTTGAAGAGATCTCAGGTCTACGGAAGTGTGATTTAACAGTGATGATTATTAATTTCCAGTGGAGCGTAAGAATAAGTTTGTGTTTGCATAAATCATGTATCAGTTAAGTATTTTCTAGGATAGGTTTTTGCTTGATTTAGTTACTGCTTAACGAAATTAATTTAGTATTATGATTGCCTGATTAAGTATAAGATATTTTCTGTCCATTTTTGAAGTGTACTCATCTATTTTTTTTAATGAAGATAATAAGTTTAAGTTAGTAATTGTGTAAGGACATTAACTTAGTATTTAAAATTGCTTGGTACAAGTAGTTTATCTTACTTAAATATAATTTTCACTATTTTCTGTAATTCAATTTGTTTACTACTATTTTTTATGACTTCAGTCATTGCATGTGGAGAAAGGAATTCTTTTACTTATTGCTTATATTTTAGGCACTGACATTGACATTTTAGGCATTGACACTGTTTGCTCTAATTTCATAATTAATAACAGCTTGCTTAAATTGACATTATGTAGTTGCTTGCATGTTAACAGTTAGAGTAAAGCGGCAAGCTATTTGTTAAAATTAAAAGATGGATATTCAACGTGGTATAATTATTGTATTCGATTATAATGAACTCAGATGTTGTATTATTTACATATAAATTTATGTGATTGGCTTTATATTTTGGCAATATATTTTGTCAGTTAATAAATAATGTGTAAATTCTCTTAAAGAGTTGTGAACTTTTCCTCACATTTATCTTAACTAATCGATACAAGTTTGAAGAGTTAAATCTGTGAGAGAAATATGACTAGTATGAACTGTAAAGATTATATCAGACAATGAGGAGATAATATACAATAGTTGATGAAAAAGAGGCAACAACAGGAAGAGAGAAATGAGAGGACGAAGGTAAATAAAGAACACCAACGAGAGAAAAGGAAGATGAGAGAAAATACAAAACTAGGGACGAAGGGAATTTGAAAGGGAGAGAGGAATGAGAGAAGGAAAATAAAAAAGCAAGGAAGGAGGAAAGAAGGAAGGACGACAAGGAGGGATGGAAGAGAGTAAGGATGGAGGGAGGGTAAGTAGGAGGGAGGGAGGGAAGGAAGGAGGGAAGGAAGGAAGGAAAGAGGGAAAGACATTCAAAGAAGGATGAAATGAGAGAACGAACGAACGAAAGACAGGAAAGAAGAGAAAAACGAAATAAAGAAAAGAAAGAAAGCATGAATGAATAAAGAAAAGGGAGGAAGAACCGAAGGGAGGGGGAGAGGAGGGCGAAGACGGGAGGATGGAACATATTCCTCAATCGCGGACCTGTTGATTCTCACTAGACAGATATCTTGACGATCGGCTGACAGGGCAAGAGCGGTGTGGGGAACGAATGAGGGGGGAATGAGCAAAACTACAGAAGAAAAACGAAGATGACGAAAGGGAATATGAAGAAAAAAACCCGGAAAAGTTGAGGAACACTAGTCTCGTCTTTCCGTGAGTTTATTGTATTTCGGTGCCATAAGCTATTCTTCATCTACCCGATTTCATAATTACAAGGGGAATGTATGTAAAACAAACTAAAGATCAACGATGCACGTTAATCAAAGAGAAACTAAGCCTTATTATATAGAAAATAACCTGGATCTTAGCAACAAACTCGGCAGAGCTGGTAAAAAGTGCGCCAACCACTGCAGTCTCCACATATTGCGGTTTTCTGCAAATGCTGCCTCGGTTCTGGCCTTTATGAATATGTATCCAGTTCATAACTTCGCTAACACTATTAGCCATTCATACACGTGTTACGAAGGACAAGTAAAAGAGGAAATCAGGTCACTCTGGCCCATGATGAGGCAAGTAACCCATATGTGATCTAAAACATACGACAGCGTGTGATACAGTGTGTTTCGTCCGTGGGTCCAACTTCACAAAATGTTCAAAGTACCATCATATTCCTCTATCTCACTCTAGAAAAAAAAATGTGCTAAAGAGACGATAAATTATTTAAAAAATATATGCCTCATCCACAACATAAGGTAAATTGTCTGCTGTGTCCGGCCTACCTTCCCAGCTTATCCGTACGCACGCATGTCAATTTCCTCTTTGACATGAACCTTTCCCTCAGCGTAATGCAACGTAAAATCTCTAATTGCAATAAAATCCCTTAATCAGAAGAGCATAACACCTGTTAGGACAAGTGTACAGTAAACCAAATTTCCCCCTGGTCGTTAATCCAATCAAGTGGACAAAAAAAAAATTAAAAGGGGGGGAAAAAAGACAATTTCACTTATCAGATAAGGGAAGGAAAGGCATCCTCCTCCACTACGAGGTGTTCCCCACTTATCTAATTAATTAAGAGCTACCAACATACACATATCAAGAGCTGGCGGGACCATATGCCTTCCTATGACACTCGGGGGCCATATGCCTTCCTATGACACTCGGGGACCATATGCCTTCCTATGTCACTCGGGGACCATATGCCTTCCTATGACACTCCGGGACCATATGCCTTCCTATGACACTCCGACGATGACAGTATGCCTTAC